ATGTATGTATGTATGTATGTATGTATGTATGTATGTATGTATGTATGTGTGTATGTATGTATGTGTGTATAGAGATCCTAACTACGGGCAGAGAAAAGATGGACCTACCAATTTCTCGACACACCAAAGGGGGATGGAATTAGTAAGGCTGGTCACAACAATAGTGTACTGACGGAAAGTTGAGAAGAGCTGGAGACTTTACTCAGCCCTCTTATTCCGCTGTGAGCATCAAAGCGAGCTACAGTGTCTCAACATCGAGGTATGCTGGGCCCGTGCCCAGCCAAGCTTCAAAATGTTTTCACACCCACAGACGCTTAACCGCGTGAATGTAGAGGATCTACTTTGATGACAGCCTAGGGCATAGACTGCAAAATTGCCAAAAATTGTTCTGAACATTGATGATAAGTGAGTATGGAGGGCAGATGGGAACTCAGGATTCCACACAAAAAAATACCAAACGCCTGTTTTACGGCACAGGTGAACAGACGTGCATGAGGTTTATGTGTTCTGCCTCAGGTTGAAATGAGCTCATCATTGTCATCATTGTCAGCATGCGCGAGTGGCATAGTCCGAATAATTTACAGGCCAGAAGTTACATCCAAAAAGACGTGGAAAATCATACATTGTGGCAGCTTGCTGCATTTAGCTGGTCTCCGCTTGGTTACCAGGCCTTGCTGAATAACGGTCTTGAAAAAGAGGCTGGAGACTACAAGCGTTTCCTTCTGCAGGTCAAGCCAAATGCAATTAGAGAGGATATGTTTGTTGGAAGCCTTAATCTCATTTCATCAATGAAGACCAGGGCTTCTCTTGTCCCACCTTTCTCGGTCTGTCGGGAAGGAGAATTACAATTTACTCATTAAAAGTAATCCTATACCTCCAGTTGATAGGCAAAGATCAGGCTCAGCAGTGCATGTACCCGCAGTTTCCACAACTCCGTAAACCCACAAGCCGGACTCCCTTTCGCCACTCAGCTCAAGTTGTGTCGGCAATAAAGTCGCATAAATGCCACTTCCTCCCCCACAGATAGGCCATATAACCAGAGCGTTACTACAAAAAACCGGACACTTGGCGGTAGCAACGGTTCAACAGGGCATTCTAGACGAATATTTGACCGCCAGGGCTTCGATGAGACTGGCCCGCTTCTCAATATTGTTAAGGTTGGGCTCAAGGCAGTCAGAGGATAAAAAACGGAGTCTCTTGGTTAACAATTGTTGAGCTCACTTCCATTTCGAGTGAGAATTTCTTCATCACACACTTCTACACTCAACAATTAAAAGACAAGGGGAGGAAAGAGTGATAGTGGAATTTTCAAAGAATGATACAGCATCTATTCATGACCAAATGGTAGTTTCGAAGGCTACTCAATCGGAATGTAAGTAGTATAGTCGAGTGCAGTAGAAACAACAATTTCTTAATCGAAACTTTACAATATAATATAATATGGGCGAGACCTGGCGCTTCTTGAAATTCACGTCTGCCTTGTTGCTCATAAAGCCTTGTGGCGTCCTGGCGTTGTTGCACAATGTCGGGATAATACGTTCTAATGCCGTGGTTCGAGTCCTGCTGGTGGGGCTGGTAAGACCAATTCAGGCAAGGTCGAGGTGAGAAAGCCGTTTGGAAAGCAAATGGTGAAATGCAACAATTGGGCCTTTCTCACATTGTGCAACCGCTTATTTAAGATCTACTAGAACATAATAACGGGCCGCTGAAGCTGTTGTGAAACACAGTGTCAATCTTGCCACACTGTGAAAAAGACCTACTGACCCGAGTTCCTAAGACGTTGTTGCCTTCAAACGACATCAATCTTTTGTGGAAGTCGTCGAAGCCTCAGAATGACCCTTTTAGCGGTACAGCCCTGAAGAGACAGCCCAGTTGCAGGTTCCACTTAAACTGACCTTAATCTACCTTTAACGACATACACTTTAGCTCACCTCGGGTCTGCAGATTATGTGACGGCTTGGGTTGTCGTGACTAAAATAGTCTACTCCTTGAAGCCTGCCTACATGAGATTGGCAGGAGACAAAGTTCATCATACAAAAGGGGCCAAGCGTCTTGCGGTCAGAAACAACGGCCACGAGGCCAATGTGACTTCCATGCGAGAGAGCGGC